TAAATTTAAAAGGTGGGGCAAAGATTGGTCACGATGTATATACATGTGGGTAAAGTTTTCATAACATGAGGGAATTACATATATATGTATTTAAAATATGTATAAAAATTAATTCTTAATAAATAAAACTAACAATCTTTTGCAAAAAAAAAAAAAAAAAAAAAAAAAAAAAAAAAAAAAATTAAATTCTTGCTCATTGATTAATTTTATAACTCATTCCTTGTATTTTAAATAATGTGATTAAGCAAAACTGCATTTCTTTCTAAATAATTCTAACCAAGAAACAAAACAAAACTTCAGATTTTCTGTGATTTAATAATGACATCCAAATCATTTAATATCTCATGATTTTATTAAGTAAACATGGGTATGTTGGTGTATAAAATCCACTGATCAATTTTGTGCATGTTGTTTGTGCATGTATGCACAATAATTTGTGCATTAATTGTAATTTTTGAAAACTATTATCATCTTGTAATGATTGAAGATAATTGTAATCATTTTGTATTGTTTGATTCCTAAAATCAAAATTTTATTTATTACACACTGAACTTTGGATTCATTAAATTTTTTGACATAAATGTATAAATGAATTTAAATTTTTATCAAAAAATTTTGCCTTCCCCTTTCACTTTTTTTCATGAATGAACATAAATAATTATGCTAAATACTATTTCAGCAATTATTCAAATTAATTTGACTACTATGGTATTTGATTTGGTGACCATTTATTAATGTTAAAATATTTTTTTTTTGCTGCAATTCATTTTTAACTGTTGCAGGGTTCTCTAATAAATTTTTTTGGTTACCAAAATAATTTTCAGGGGTACTTATTCATTTTGGGATTTTTTTTTTATTTCTATATAACAATATTTTTTCTCATAAAAAAATTTTATAACTATAATAATGAATTCAACAATATTGGAAAAGTATTTCAATGAAAATGAAAGATTTTTAAATACAGAAGAGAATAGTGATGTAAAAATTAATGTTGGTGTAGAACCAAATATTAAAGAAATCCATGCCCATTCATTCATTCTACAAGTTCATTGTCCATTCTTTAGAAATGCTTTAACCAATGCAACAAAAAAAAATGGATATTATATTATTGAAAAATCAAATATCAGTGAATCAATTTTTAAACCTATTCTAAAGTAAGTAATCACAAAATTATTATTGAATTTTTTAATCTAATATATAATTAATAATTATAATAATATTTTATTTTGCTTTAAAGGTTTTTATATACTTGTAAAATTGAATTAGACCATTTTACTGGAGTTAATATTTTGGAAATATTAATTGCAGCTGATGAACTTGGTCTTGAGTCACTTTATGAATATACAATGAATTATTTTATTGATAAACATGAAGATTATATAAAAGAAAATCCAATTAAAATTCTTAAATTAATTTATTCAAACAAAGAAACTTTTAAGGAATTTAAAAATATTTATTTGGAAAAATTTTGTAATTATAGTGAAGAGTTATTTCAGTCAAGTGAATTTGAATCACTAGAAAAACCAATTCTATTGGAAATTCTCAAAAGGGATGACCTTTCTGTTGATGAGATAGTTGTTTGGGAAAATATTATTAAATGGGGATTAGCAAGACATCCAGAAATCAATAATAATAATGTTGAAGATTGGTCATCACAAAATTTTGCAGATTTTGAAAAAACAATAAAAGAATTTATTCCTTTAATTAGATTCCGGGATATTTCTAATAAGGATTTTAGTCATAAAATTTCACCATATCTAATGCTTTTTCCTAGAGCTTCATGGAAAATTATTTTAGATTATTATTTAATTCCTGATGAACAGCCAACTTCAACTTTACTACTACCATCAAGAAATCCAATAATTAGCTCAGCAACAATTAATCAAAAGCTTAAATTGCTTTTTGCAAGTTGGATTGATCGAAAAACCCCACCATATACTTCATTTAGAGATGTTAAGTACAAATTTAAACTCTTATATTGTAGTAGTAGAGATGGTTCAAATGCATCTACTTTTCATCAAAAATGTGATAATATTAAAAAAACTCTTGTAGTTGGCAAAATACAAAATTCAGATCAATTAATAGGAGGATACAATCCACTTGATTGGAATGGAAATGGGATTAATAAAAATACATCTGAAAGTTTTATATTTAATATTAGTAATAGAAAAGATATTAATACTGCACTGTTTAGTTATCCTATTAATGATAAATCAATTTATTGTAATACTGGTTGTTTGGCTGTTTTTGGTAATGGTTATCAAGATTTCTGGTTTAATCCACAAAATATTGGTGGTAATATTGGTGGTAGTGGGTCATATGCTTATAATAACATCAATATACCACATGTTAGTAAATATGATGAATTAGAGGTTTTTCAAGTAATTGATAAAAATTAAAATCAAGGCTTTAATTTTTGGTAATATTATTAAGTTATGCACAATTTTTTTCTTTTAATTTATTCTCCCAAAAAAATAAACAACAATTAAATCATTGATATAATGTTATTAACTGAATACTTTAATGATGATGTTGAAAAATAAGATAAATATGATGTGAAAATTAAATTCTTGCTCATTCATCAATTTTACAACTCATTCCTTGTATTTTAAATAATGCGATTAAACAAAATTGCATCCTTGCAAAAATAAATATCAGCGAATTGGTTTTTTAAAGAAAGCTTGTAAAACCACCTTAAGGTTCAAAAGGAATGTACCAATTTCTATCACCCAAAGCATTCAGTTTAATAAACAAAATAATAAATAAAATATTACTAAACGATACAAAATACAAACGTTTCTTTCTGCTTTTTTAAATAATTCTCTTTCCTCTCTCAAGTCTTTCCAATAATTTACGTTTTTGTCTAATTTCTAAAAATCACCATTTATTTTCAAGAAACAAAACTACAGATTTTCTAAGATTTAATAATGTCATCTGGAACCATTTAACATCTCGTGATTTTATTAAGTAAACATGGGTACGTTTCTAAGCTTCTACATCTTAATTTACATATAAATTGAACTGAACCCCATATCATGTGTATAGAAAATAAATCGTTTTGTAAATTCAAATTCAAATTTTTCTTTAATTCTTCAATATAATTTTTATATGAATCATCTCAATTCATATTTGATTTTTTCACCAACTACTTCATTGTAGCATTTTAATTTCTTATATGGTCGAACAACTACAATGTCATTATCTTCAACTCCCTCATTAACATTTGGTTATTTTATTACAATAGGAATATTATTAAATGAAGCTGGTTTTTTCTATGGCTCAAACCGGTTAGTATCACCTAATTATTGGATCGTTTCATTCAAGTCAATAAATACTATCTATGAATAAATTAACTCGATCCAATGGATCATGATTTTGATTTGTTCGGATCAATATACACCATCTAATAATACACATAAATAAATCAACCCAATGAAAATTCATTTTTTCAACAAACCTTGTTCCGTTGAAACGCGATTTTAAATCCAATTTCTTATGCGTCTCATTCTATACGTACGGGATGGGTTGTGAATAGGTACTGGGTATATATTGAATATATATATAAAAAGATAAAATTTCCAGTATCTCATTTGTAAGATATATGAATTTTAGAATAAAAAAATTTTTTCGCCGTAATTTATCATCATTTGATTTCCAAAATTAAATTAGCTAGATTATTAGAAGTGGATCCGGTAATGATGTGTGGTTGATGAGAGAAGTAATGAATCACCATGAAGAATTATTTTTCCATCTAAATATGAGCTCGAGGTTGAATAGATGGTGTCTAGATTTCATCCAGTGTAAAAAATAAAAAATAAATATTTACCGTATACGAACAACTTGAATTTATCTGAATCCATGTCTGGTAAATGTCAGCATCAAGATAATTTAAATTGCATGAATCGATTGATTCAGCTCCACCATCAGACCTATTGTATGAGAAAAAGAATTGGTCGATTTAAATACTGTTCCACAAACATATATATATTCCACCACAATGCTACTTTCTCTACAATCAATAAGTTAACACCAGTTGTTTTTGGAATGTCCCCCACTTTTGTATTTACGCACAAAGCAAATTAGCAACTCGGAAGCTGGATTTAACATAATCGCACAAACAAAAGATTGTTGATCCACCTACGCTTCAAAGAAGCCCTCACGGGAATTTTCCTGCTGTCAATCCATGGTGCTGAAATTGTTGGGTTAAATAATGAATCTTTTGAAGAACATAAATTTTATTATCAACTATCACACCAACAGTTTCATAACATGGAATGTTAGAGTCAGAAAATACATTAGTAATAATAAATATTACAAATAATTATCTTTGAAATTTAAGCTCATTAGTTATTTTTTTATCGATTTTACTGTGTAGCATTTAAGTACAGAAGTATTGATAGCAAAGTAATAAATGTATCTCGTGTATGGTTTAATTAATAATCTCCATCGCGTAATTGAGTAAAGTTTAAAGTCAGGGAAAATGTACCATGTGATAGTTAATGATATCTGTAATCTTTGAAATGAAGATTGACTCTTTTTTAATATTAATATCGTTTTAGGACTATTTGCTGCTACATAAAACAAATCTCCGTCGAATAATCCAAATTCCAATATTAACACTACATACGAATATAATTGGTCCTGAAGATACAAAACCGTTAATAATGAAATAAATAAAGGTCTTCATAATAATAATGAAATTTTGATCAGTTGCTACCGTAATTCCGTAAACATAATTGGCTGTCCGTAATTCGGATATTAATATATACAGTATATAATAATAAGATTACAGATGTAAGCCAAATCTTGTCAAGCTAATAATAACCACAACTCAATTAAATTATATAAGAGGTCAAAGATTTAAATTATTACATGTAAAAATTTTGAAGCATGTTATTACCTAAACCCGCTAAAAGAGATTGAAAAGTAGGAGTGTAGGTTTTTTAAATTTTTTTCTTTTATTTTTAACTGCTAAAGTTCTAGAAAATATGGGTGGGTACATATGATTTTATGTCAATAATCCTCAGAATTTAAGATAATTTATAATTTTTATTTAAAATTTCGGACAAAAATTTAAATGACATGGTTTGACCTTACAAAAAAAAATTGTCTATATTATTTTGTATCAAAAGTTTTTTTTTTATAGATTTTCGTGCAATATTAATATACTAATACTAATATTAATATGGCACAGTCGAATTTTATAATAATGATGTAAAGAAGAATTATTCTTTGTTAATTCTCCTCTTTAATATGTTATAATCTTTACCATACCGACTCTGATATCAAAAAATGCTACTGTCAATAGTATTAATTTAATCGTTAATTCCTTGGCTATTTGTTTTTATTATAACAAATTGCTACTCGAAGCTTCGCCCATATTATTTTATTTGTCATGCTTATATACATAGTTTTTATTCTAATAATTTTCATTTCCTGCAGTTTTAATAAATTAAATGTTAATTACATACTAGAAGAAAATAATAATCTATGCTTATCAAACGTTTAGTAACAAAAACAAAAAATTACTTCAAGAATAGAGAAATAAGAATACCGTCAAGTGTTAAGAGAGTAAGGCGTATGTGTGAGCAATTAAAGATTTAGATTAAGACCAAAACAATCGAAAGGTTTGAGCTGAGTAATAAATAGCATTTATTATCGTATTTATTTAAAGCCATAAAATTTCTTTATTTGCTAATAACAATTTTAATCAATTCACCCAACATTATAATTTAATCCAGGATATAAATATAGTCAGTATAAACCAAATAGTAATAATAATAGCTACTTTCAGTTGTAACAAAATCCTTAACTACAACTAATATTTTAATAATAATTGGTAAAGCAGTTTTGTGTGGACTTTGAGAGTTTGAAATTTTTGATGTCCGACTTTATATAATTCGTAAAGTTGATATATTTTTTATGTAACAATTGTGTTGGTTAAATTTGAAGAGCAATTATAGAAAAATTTTGATTTAGAAAAAGTTGACATCCCACTTTTGCTTATTAAACACCAGAATCATTGAAAGTTGATGGGTTTGTAACAGTTGAAGTGGTTATAGCAATATCAGGAGCAGTGGATGTGGTTATTATTGAATGCAAGCTTTTCTTTTAATGAATTGACGACTTCTATGAATATTATTTAATAGTTAAAGGTATGCCCATCCTTTTCCTAATTCAAATTCAGGATCTACGTTAAACCGCAGAAACAACAATATATAAAAGCAACATAAGTTCTAACGAATATGAATTTTATGTTGATCTGTTCAATTAATTCTTCAATTGAGTGAAAATAAACTTCAATCATCAATATTCTGTTAGCCATCCATTATTAGGTATCAAAAATAATAAGGAATTAATTTTCATACGTATTAAAGAGAATTTTTTTTAAAAGAAAAAATTAACAGCATCAAACTCTCAAAGATGTCTAGACGCTTCGGAAAATTCTTAGCAATTACAAATATTTCTAATGTTCCTTTCTCCAAGTTACTTAAGCTAGAGATTATTATGCAATATAAGTTCTAGGATGACGGGAGAGATTGTAGGAAATAATAGAAAGACCTTTTAGATGCCACTTGTTGGCCAATTTACGGCCCATAATAATAATTAATTTTTCACACAATTATGTTTATTATCCAGTTGATTAGAATAAAAATTACCAGGGAGCAAGAAAGTCAGAACTAATGTTGGTAAAATTATTCATTAAATTATGATGATCATTGCTAATCAAATCTTTTTTTTTTTTTGTAGTTTCATGTTTTCATCAATATCAAGAAATAATTTACAATTAGTTCAGGTTTGTTTATTTAATATTAATATTAATACCATTATGTATGTGTATATGTATGTATGTATCTGACTCTAGTTGTTTTTTCTTTGTATTTTATAAAAAACTCGAATAATAATAAAAAGTAGAGTTATAATTTGCAAAAAAATAAAGTGATTATTTATTATAAGCAACAGCAGCTGTACTATTTCAAAAAGTATTCAAAAATGTCTTCATCGATTAAAGAAGAACTTAAAAATAGTAATAGTAAAGATGATGATGACAATATCAAATTTATTGTTAATAATGATGAAGATGTAGTATTAGTAAATTTAGACGATTTAAAATCTACTGAACAAATTGGTAGTGGTAGTACATCAAACAACAACAATAACAATAGTAACAACATATCAAATGAAGATAGGGGGACAGTTAGTACTAGTGATAGTGGTAGTGGTGTTGGTGTTGGTAGTAGTAGTAATAATAATATTACAGCAATTATTGATGGTGAATCAATTGGGACAACACAATTTAGACTAATGGTTAGAAATATACCAAAATACACATCAGTAAAAATTCTTAAAAATTTAATGCAAGAAAATGGTTTTGGTGATATAAAAGTTCAAAAATCACCAACTTGGGATTATTTCTTTGCATCATTTAAGGTTTTTATTCATTAAATTATAATGATGGCTATTATTATCATTATCATTATTATAACTTTTTGACTATAGACAAAAGAAAGACAAATTGAAGCTCTTAACACATTGAATGGATTAAAATTTAAAAATAAAAAATTACTTGCACGAATTGATGATATCACTGAACAAGTAAGTAGGTTTTTTGATTCACTCTTGCTGATTCACATTAATTCACACACTCTCTTTTGATTGCATCAACTCATTCTCATCCATTATATAGGATCGACAGGCTAAGTTTGAAAGAAGGAATAAACAAAAACAAAAGAATCTTCTGGATCAAGATGGAATACAACAACGTTCACCGGAAGAATTACTTGCAGATCAAGTCACACCTTGGCATAAGTATATTTCTTTCTTTCTTTCTTTCTTTTTTTAATTCATTATCATCATTATTATTTAAATTTATTTAATAATTACTACTCTTGTTCTTTTGGTAAGAATTCCATATGAGATTCAATTAGAAAATAAACAAAATGATATTAGGAAATTTATTATAAACTTACGACAAAAGATTAGCAACATTGAAAAAGATTACTACAATGATAATTTGCCAGAGTGGCTTTCTGTAGAGTGATTAATGATAATTTATTAATTTTGTGTTATTTTTTTATAAATATTATAAAATTATTTATATAAATTTTTTTTTAATTGTGGCGATGATAAGATCAGAATTAAGTAATTTCTGTGATTTCTTGCCAATTCTTCGATCTCCAATAACAGAAGGTTATAGAAATAAATGTGAATTTACTATTGGATTAAATCTTGATAAAGAAAAAACTGTTGGATTTTTATTGGGAGCATATAAAGATGGACTGGTTTCAGTTTTGGTAATTAATTATTATTGGTGGTGATAATTATGATAAATGTAAAAAAAAGTTTTTATATGTAATTATAATACTTTTTTTAGGAACCTAATAAAACAATTCACGTTAGTGATGTAGCAAAAAAATTAGCAAAAGGAATGCAAGTATGTAATTAGTAAATAAATGAGCTTACTAAATCAACAAAAAAACAATAATAATTGATTTCTATTAATCATTTAGGATTATGTTCGTAATTCACAATATGATATATATGATCGTAGGACTAAGCAAGGTGAGGTGATAACTATTAGTATTTACTATTTATTCATTTGAAGGAGTTGTTAGTCATGATTTCCTATTATTTAAATATTTGTTTATTAGGTAATTGGAGGCTATTGGTTGTGAGGTCTCAAATGTCTGGAGATGGTAAGAATTGATTTTTAAAGAAAAATTGAAATATTAAAAATATCAAAATTATAATATAATTCTTTTTTTTATCTTACACACACACGTACACATGTATAATAATGTATATATAGTGATGATTATAGTTCAACTGCATCCACAAAATTTAACCGAAGAACAACTTGGTCAAGAAAAAATCAAATTAACAAATTATTTCCAAGCATTTTCCAAAAATGAAAATTTTAATTTGACTTGTTTATTAATTCAATTGTTTGATGGAGTTAGTAATGGAATGTCTGATAAAGTTCCATATGAACTTTTATACGGAACATCATATATTCACGAAGAGATGATGAATTGTAGGTTAGTGTAAAAGAAATGATATTAGAGGAAAAGATGATAATGATTTGAAGATAAGAAGGGGAAAAGGATTTTTAAACAAATTAAAAAATATATATACATATTTATTTATTTAGATTTCGTGTTTCTCCATTGGCATTTTTTCAAACAAATACAGCAGCAGCAGAAGTTTTATATAATCAATGTAGTATTTTTATTGATGAATTAATTCCATCATCATCTTCTTCAACAACAACAACGGCATTATTATCAGAAACATCAACAACAACATCTTCTACATCATCATCAGATCCACCAATGTTGGTGGATATGTGTTGTGGTACAGGGACAATAGGTATAGCATTATCAAAGAAATTAGGAAATAAAATTAAAGGTGTTATTGGAATTGAACTTTCTACAGAAGCAATTGAAGATGCAAAGATTAACTCCATTTTAAATGGTATGCAGGAATTTATTTAATCAAATAATTTAATTAATTATTGGTTTGATTGGCTACTATTGCTAATATGCCAGCATCCTTAATGTTATTATTAAAGGTATTGAAAATGCTGAATATATTGTTGGTCCAGTTGAAAATAATCTACGCACTTTAAATAATTTTAACAACTCTCGACCAGGATCACTTATTGCAATTTTGGATCCACCTCGGTAAAAATTATAATAAATAACAATTTATTTTATTGCTCACAATTAATTAATTAATTATTATTTTCAAATTATTTTATTATGAAATATAGTGCTGGAGTTCATAAAAGTGTCATCAAAGCAATACGACAGTGTCAAGCAATTTCTAATTTCATCTACATATCATGTGACTACAATTTGGCGACGCAAAATTTTATAGAGTAAATTATCTTTTAAAAAAAATTTATTATGAAAAATAATTATATTTAATTATTTTTAATATTATTTTTTTATTTATTTTTTTAGTATTTGCCGGCATCCCTCTTCTTCATTTCCAGGAATACCATTTAAACCAATTAAAGCAATTGCGGTCGATTTATTTCCACATTCTAAGCACGTTGAATTAATTATTTTATTCGAGAGAATTGGAAATTTTGTTTATCAAAAAAAAAGAAAAGAAATTGAATGATCGACTCATTCTTAAATGTTGAGAAAATAAAAAAAAAATTTTTTTTTTTTTTTTAAGACGCGAACTTCTTCTAAAAAGTCACATGACCAATTTTCAGATCTAAATTGCGTATATATTAGTGCTGGTTATTAGCATTATATTTTTACATCATACGCTTAGTAATTATTATTTAATCTCTTCATTTTAGGAGGCTTCCTTTTTATCATAATTTTATAATAGTGAAGTCATAATGATGTATTATTTATCTAATAAATATTGATGTTTTTTTCTTATATATATATCGAAAAAATATTTTTTTAACGAAGTAAAAAAAAAAAAAAAAAAAAAGACATAATTACATTTATAAATAATAAATAATAAAATAATCAACAAATAATGTCGAAAGAAAATAACAACGATTATTCAACCGACGAAGGAGTTGTTAAAGATGAACTTTATGAACGTGTTGTGGAACATGGAGATGAAGAATACGATCCTAAACAAGACATTGTTGAACAAGACATTGAAGAACCAGAAGTTGAAGGACAAGACGTTGAAGAACAAGAAGTTGAAGAACAAGACGTTGAAGAAGATGAAGAAATGGGTAATTATCAAATATATTAATAGCAGTTTTAAAAACAAAAAATAATCGTTACATTTTTTATATATTTATAAAATAAAAGACCTCAATCCAGATAAAAATTTGTCACCACCAACTTTACGACCTACAACTTACGCTGTAGGACAAACCGAAGGATATTATTCAGAGGATACAAATGAACTTGGAGGCGGACCTGAATTGATTGCCGAAGCTAATGATCGGGATGATAAAGATGAATCAAGACAATTGTATATTATGATTGATTGGTTAAATTTTTTTGCACAAAATGTAAATCAAGATCTCTCATCATTTTTTAATTATTTAATATTTAATTAGAACTTCTTTAGTTGCAGCATCCCATCGAAAGGATAGACCACCTGAAGCTAAACGTGAAAGTGCAATTAAGGCATCATCATTATATCAAAACCTTACAGGACAACCTTTAGAAATCAACGAAGGTCATTATTAATTAATTAATTAATTAGTTAATTAATTATACGTGTGTTTTCATTAATATTATTTTTTATCCTTTTTAATAGGAGGCGAAGTCGTAACAGATACAAGAATCAGTGCAGGTTAAATGAAATTTTTTATCGAGAGATTGGTTAATTGATTACAAAATTATAATTTGATTTTATCTACTAGTTTTAAATGTATATTGATTTTTTTTTTTTTTACAAAAAATAAATAAATACCAAATATTTACACACATACACTTATATTTTATATATCAAATGATTTTAAACGGATTATTAAGGATTTAATTCTTCAGTTGATTCACATAATGTATTGTATCTATAAAAATTTAATGGCCAATTCCTTCCATCGACATATCTAAACAATAAATTTTCTGGAAAAATAAGAAACTAGAATATAAAATATTAAAAAAAAAAAACTTCTTTTTTTAGAAATTCCCACACTCACGGATCGCTGCCAATCGGAAAGAACCATACATGCCAGGTCGGGCCCATCACTTGTTTCCAATTATTTCTAGAATTTTTTTTTAAAATTGATTTTAATATTCATTCACATATTACTTCTCTCACGCACTCCTACGCTCCTACACTCTCATCATTCATACCTTCTCCCGATATCAAATAAATTTAAAAATTTACTTGTAGTAACTTCGGTATTCTCTCTAATTTTATAATTATGTTTTTGTAAACTTTCAATAGTTGTTTGATTTGATAATATTAAACTTGTGTGATACAATGTGAACCATATCAGACAAATAAAAAATATTGCACCGATAATAATTAAAAAACTCCAATTCAAGTCAACATCATCCAATATGATCTCATATGATGATCGAGCTACTTCAATTGTTGGTGGTAACGTTACAATTGAAATGAAGAAAGAGTATATTGTTGCGTAAACAATAAAAAGATAGAAAGATTTCTGATTACGAAGTCCAATGCAATTATTTAGCCTACATGAAGATTAATATGATGTAGATGATAAAATGAATTAATTAATAGATGATCGATTGATTATACAGCTAAAAATAGTAATGATGTTAGTTGTATAATCTACTTATTAATTTTTACCATGGACAATGACTAAAATTTAAAAATAATTTGTTAATGTTGTTGATAAAATAATTATATAGTCATTGTAACAATAACAATAATAATAACACATACTGATCCATTTTTAAGATACATCTAACAGTAATAATAATAGTAATAATAATAATAATAATAATAATAACAATTAATTGATTGATTGATTAATAAAAATTCAAAGAATACAATAAATCCAACATACCTCCTGCACACTTTACAATGATGAGTCCTATCCGGTTTATCATTTTGACATTTTTGACAAAATCTCTTTTCTCCACTTTGTTTAACCATAATGGAACTTATGGTCATTGGATTGTTATTATCATCCAACACAATAGTACTTGATTTATTACTTACATTATTATTATCATTAATGTTAATGTCAAAATTATTATTATTATTATTATTATTATTATTATTATTATTATCATCATCATTATTAATGTCATTTGCATTATTGTTGGTTTCTATTTCTATTTCATGTGAATGACTTGATGTTTCTGAGCTATTGATACTACTTTCTCTTGAATTCAATCTAATATCATCATTATCTTTTACTCCAAGTTGCTTATAATTTTTCTTTTTGATTTTTTGTCTCTTTAATTAATTAATTTAATTAAACTTTGAAAAAAAAGGATTATTTGAAAAAATATTTTGCATATTTACGAATTTACATACATCATCAGAAGGGCTACCCGGTGACATGAAAGTAGCTTTGAGATAACACCACATCATCAAAATAAATAATATATGATATATTATTAAATATGTTATACCTAGGAAAATCAAATATACAATTAATTTAATCATCAAATTTTCCTTTGTCAAAAATAATAAAAACAATAAATTTACCTTGAGCGATATTTTTAGGAATCAGATATAAAATACATAATCTTATAACAAATGCAAAGTAAGACCAAAGTACTAGAATTATTAAAACAAATACTGGGAAATAATTTGCAATTTTTATAAAAGCTTGTATTAGTTTATTTTCATTTATCCATTTTTCTATATTCCATATCATATTTTTTATTTTTTTTTCTAAAAAATAAATCAAAAAAAAAAGTTTTTGAAAAAATTAAAAAATATAATTTTTTTTTTTTCAGTTAGGGAAGTTCATTAATTACTTTGAAATATTATCGGGTAAAATAAATCAAAAAAGATTTGCTAAGCCAGTTGGCTTAGCATTGCTACCAATTATTACAAATGTTTGATATGTCTGACATATTTAACACAAAGGTTGAATCTTTTAGATTTCTATTTTATTAATTTTTTTTTTATTTGATTAGTTTACACACATCTTTATTATAATAATATATTTGATAATAATAGTAATATAGCAATAATAATATCTTGTGCATTTGTGGTATTTAAAATTTATCACGAACATATCTAGAAAAGAAATAAAAGGAAAATATTAATTTAATTTGCTTTTGAAAATTATAATTTCTCAAAATAATTATACACATACTTTTTATCAAAACTTTGACTAACTGCAAGAAGTTTAACTTGTGTTCCTTCTTCAATGTTATTCCATGGTGTTGGATTATTTTTCCTGATTCAAATAAACGAATATTAATTTCGAGCAAAACATAATTTTTTTTCTTAATATTTTTTATTTATACTTACTTATCCCATACAACTTCGGGCCCTCTTGCTAAACGAGTTAAATACCATCCAGCGCCTACAAGAGCTAATCCCTATTTAATCAATTATTAATTATTTAATAACCGAATCGTTAATTGTTCGTAGAGTAATAAATAAATTCAAAAAATAAAAATAAATATGGTAAGTAATAATTACAGTGACGGCATAGAGTGGAACTGCTTCGGTACGATACCAATTTCTCATAAATGCACCTTTTAAAGCTGAAGACATTTTTATTTATTTATTTATTTTAAAAGTGAGTAGGGATTGATTTGGTGAATTAGCGAAAGTGTGTGAGTGCAAGTGTGTAAAGTTGAAAAAAATAATGTTTATAAAAGAATTTTTTTTAAAAAATCTCATTTTCGTATATTTATATAGAATTCGGGTATAACCGTTACTTGTACATGAAAAAAAAAAAATTTTTTTTTTTGACAGATTGAAATCCGAATTTGGTAATTTCTAATATTAAAGGATGCAGGAGTTTTCAAACATTACCAAAAATGTTGCAAATACACGTGAGCCAATTAAAAAAGATTCGACGATGATTTCTACGGCGAAAAAATTCATTTCATCATATTAATATATATTAATATTGTGAGTCTCATAGTATTTTATTTATAATGATATGCCAACAATGTTGATACAATTTCTTCCATTTATTTATACTAAATTGTAACAACAATTTCCGCGAACGTATACTTATGCTTTACTCTCAAAACTATCTTTCACTATCATTAAACAATTCCTTATACTAAGAAATACTAAACAATATCTTCTTTAGATTTTACACTATATATATCCTAATCTTGTTCCTTGGTAGATGCTCTTCTAGCAGTTTTCCTCTTTGCTACCAAGTCAGATACGTCTCCGAACTTCACTAAATAAAATTTATTAAATATTACCTCACTAAAAGAAAAGAAAAAAAAAAAAGAAAAAATAATAAAATAATAGAGACAAATATAAAATAAGAGAAAATGGTTATGCACGGAATTAGTATAAATTCATTGCTAGAGATAGATTTGTCATTTCGAAAATATAATATTCAAAGACAACAAAGACAATGACAAGGACAAGGACAAGGTTAAGGACTGTGTTATTTATCAAATGATTGTCATGATGATTGATTAATTAATTGATTATAAAGATGACACATGAAGTTGAGAAAATTACAACGTTATTTATACATGTTAAAGGTTATATCATCTATTTCTCCGATTTCTTCGAAATCCTAATTTATCCTAATTAAATGTATTATTTGAACCTTCTGTGTAGAATTATTTTCAAGTTATTCTAAAGTGATCCAATCATTTAAATTCCTTCGTTTAAATTAAATCAAAGAATTAAAGGTCTGTTGCATTTTAGAATTTAGAATATTTATTTCTCCGTTGTTTGAGATATTTTCCGTGAGTCAATTATTTTATTGATGATTGAATAAAAATATGAAATTAGACTGATTTGAATACTTGATCAATTTTTTCCGATTTTATTTGCGTACAACTTTCGTAGATATTCCATGATATGTGAAATTACTATTTTACATTATTAGCTATTACGGATATATTTACCAAAAAAGAAAAGAAATTATAAGTGATGGTATTATGAAAATATATACATATAATTCAGATTATAATAATGGAAAGAATCTTAATTAATAAAAAATATAAAAAGAAATAAAAGAAAACAAATGATGATATTATTTCATTCAATATTGATATATATTAATATGACAATGTAATGGTATCCAGATGGAAAACCATTGCAAGATTATGAGTCGCAGATAGTTGATTAAAATTGTAATTAAGCTATAACTGAGTTTCAGCACATAATAATAACCATAATTTTGACTTGCGTGGATTAATTTATAGATTTACATAATGGTAAATTGATGCAAATAATGAATAGGTTATAATAATTTTTTCGTTCCTCAGCTTCAAAAATTGATCAGCAAATTTTTACACAGGGGTTTTTTATTTCTATAATAATAATAAATATAATAATAAATATAATAATAACAAATTCTTTTTCTCTTTTCTCTTAAAAAATTATTATTATTATAATTATAATAATGAATTCAACAATATTAGAAAAATATTTCAATGAAAATGAAAGATTTTTAAATACAGAAGAGAATAGTGATGTAAAAATTAAAGTTGGTGTAAAACCAAATATTAAAGAAATCCATGCCCATTCATTCATTCTACAAGTTCATTGTCCATTCTTTAGAAATGCTTTAACCAATGCAACAAAAAAAAATGGATATTATATTATTGAAAAAACAAATATCAGTGAATCAATTTTTAAACCTATTCTAAAGTAAGTGATTACAAAATTATTATTTGATTTAATATATAATTAATAATTATAATAATATTTTATTTTGCTTTAAAAGATTTTTATATACTTGTAAAATTGAATTAGACTATTTTACTGGAGTTAATATTTTGGATATATTAATTGCAGCTGGTGAACTTGGTCTTGAGTCACTTTATGAACATACAATGGATTATTTTGTTGATAAACATGAAGATTATATAAAAGAAAATCTAATTAAAATTCTTAAATTAATTTATTCAAGCAAAGAAACTTTTAATGAACTTAAAAATACTTATTTAGAAAAATTTTGTAATTATAGTGAAGAGTTATTTCAGTCAAGTGAATTTGAATCATTGGAAAAACCAATTCTATTGGAAATTCTCAAAGGAGATGATGTTTCTGTTGATGAGATAGTTATTTGGGAAAATATTATTAAATGGGGATTGGCAAAACATCCAGAAATCAATAATAATAATGTTGAATATTGGTCTTTGCAAAATTTTGCAGATTTTGAAACAACAATAAAAGAATTTATTCCTTTAATTAGGTACCGGGATATTTCTAATAAGGATTTTAGTCATAAAATTTCACCATATCAAATGCTTTTTCCTAGAACTTCATGGAAAATTATTTTAGATTATTATTTAATTCCTGATGAACAGCCAACTTCAACTTTACTACTACCATCAAGAAATCCAATAATTAGCTCAGCAACAATTAATCAAAAGCTTAAATTGCTTTTTGCAAGTTGGATTGATCGAAAAACCCCACCATATACTTCATTTAGAGATGTTAAGTACAAATTTAAACTCTTATATTGTAGTAGTAGAGATGGTTCAAATGCATCTACTTTTCATCAAAAATGTGATAATATTAAAAAAACTCTTGTAGTTGGCAAAATACAAAATTCAGATCAATTAATAGGAGGATACAATCCACTTGATTGGAATGGAAATGTAAATGGAGGCGTGATTTATAAAAACACATCTGGAAGTTTTATATTTAATATTAGTAATAGAAAAGATATTAATACTGCACTGTTTAGTTATGCTATTAATAATAATAGTGCAATTTATTGTCATACTAATTGTTTGCCTGTTTTTGGTAATGGTGTTCAAGATTTCTGGTTTAATTCACAAAGTGCTGGTGGTAATATTGGTGGTTATGGGTCATCTTTTTATAATAACATCAATATACCATATGGTAGTACATACGATGAATTAGAGGTTTTTCAAATAATTGATAAAAATTAAAATCAAGGCTTTAATTTTTGTAGAATTATTAAGTTATGCACAATTCTTTTTTTATTAATTATTATTATCTTATCATTGTAATTTTTTATATATTCTTATGGTGTAATTTCCATATAAATAGTAATAGGCTACTTAACTTTTAAGCATTTCTATTATAGTGTTGCTATGATGGTTTCATCATAATAATATTATTATTTTGAAATTTTGTCCATGTAATTTTAAAATTCTGAGTAAATTAATAAATAACTATAAATCAGTCCCTTATAATTAAAAGCAAAATTTTTCTAACACATCTTCCAAGTGGTTATAAGCAACTTTGTAGGGGACACTTTGGCACAACTGTTGCTGCAGAATTTGCTTTAGTCTGCATACTAGTTGAGCAATAATCTTAAATAATTGTGAAGAAAAGAAACACTTCTGACTTGGTGTAGAATAATCAATATTTAGGCTAGCCTTATCTTTTAATTGTTGTTAAAAATCCTAGTCTGACTCTAAAAATTTTATTATGGTTGAAAATCACTTGCTATATGAGTTCAATTTTACTTTGTAAAATTGAGCTTAAGCTTGTATTATCCCAGTGGTTTAACTGATTTATCCCCACCATTTATGTCATTTTTATGTGTAACTTTTTCCACCATCAAGAAGATTTGTTGACAAATTAATTTTATTCTTTGTATATATATATGTTTCATCTCACTTTGCGGAATGTTACACTGCTCCATTACACATTCTAACAATGGTAATTTTAATATTTAAAAAAATGGGGAGATATTTTTTTAATTTGGTAATATATTTATAGGAACCTAAGTTGAACGTAACTTTACATTGTTCTATTACTGAACTTAATTGTTATAGATTATAGAATGAAAATCAAAGGATCACTATAACTAAACTTACACTTCCAGATATTTCGGATAATGATTCAAAATCAGTAAATGTTACAAGCCAGTTACTACTGAAACAGATAATACATGTGACTTGATGAAATGATCAAGATGCAATTTCCAGTGACACTAGTGTTGATGATTCCAGTATTTCTAATGATGTTTTTGAATCAAATAAAAGTATTGATTCACATCATGCATTCAATGATATTTCCAATATTACATTACCATTTAAAAGATCAAACATAATTTAAATTTATTAAATGTCGTAATACTACTATATTAATATTCTTAATATTCAGAAATAACTATTATTATTAAATACTCATTACTTCAAACAATTGTATTTTTAATATTTGTTTGTATTACTTGTAATGTTTTGCATTTTATAAATATTAAAAATAGACTATCAAACTGAGCTTGAATTTTATAAGTACGAAAAATGGTATAAATGAGGTTACACGGGGGATAAAATTAATATAGGGTGAAATTGACAAATCTATGTACATGCATGTATAACATTGAGTTATCCCCATACCCCTAGATATTAATATATTTTTTCTCATAAAAAATTTTTATAACTATAATAATGAATTCAACAATATTGGAAAAGTATTTCAATGAAAATGAAAGATTTTTATATACAGAAGAGAATAGTGATGTAAAAATTAAAGTTGGTGTAGAACCAAATATTAATGTAATTCATGCCCATTCATTCATTCTACAAGTTCATTGTCCATTCTTTCGAAATGCCTTAACCAGTGCAACAAAAAAAAATGGATATTATATTATTGAAAAAACAAATATCAATGAATCAAATTTTAAAGCTATTCTAAAGTAAGTAATTACAAAATTATTATTGAATTAATTAATTAATTTTTTTAATTTAATATATAATTAATAATTATAATAATATTTTATTTTAAAGATTCTTATATACTTGTAAAATTAAATTAGACAATTTTACTGGAGTTAATATTTTGGATATATTAATTGCAGCTGGTGAACTTGGTCTTGAGTCACTTTATGAACATACAATGGATTATTTTGTTGATAAACATGAAGATTATATAAAAGAAAATCTAATTAAAATTCTTAAATTAATTTATTCAAGCAAAGAAACTTTTAATGAATTTAAAAATACTTATTTAGAAAAATTTTGCAATTATGGCAAAGAGTTATTTCAGTCAAGTGAATTTGAATCATTGGAAAAACCAATTCTATTGGAAATTCTCAAAGGAGGTGACGTTTCTGTTGATGAGATAGTTATTTGGGAAAATATTATTAAATGGGGATTGGCAAAACATCCAGAAATCAACAATAATAATGTTGAAGATTGGTCTTTGCAAAATTTTGCAGATTTTGGAACAACAATAAAAGAATTTATTCCTTTAATTAGGTTCCGGGATATTTCTAATAAGGATTTTAGTCGTAAAATTTTACCATATCAAATGCTTTTTTCTAGAACTTCATGGTGGAAAATTATTTTAGATTATTATCTAATTCCTGATGAACAGCCAACTTCAACTTTACTACTACCATCAAGAAATCCAATAATTGACTCAGCAACAATTAACCAAAAGCTTACATTGCTTTTTGCAAGTTGGATTGATCGAAAAACCCCACCATATACTTCACTTGGAGATGTTAATTACAAATTTAAAATTTTATATCGTAGTAATAGAGATGGTTCAAATGCATTTACTTTTCATCAAAAATGTGATAATATAAAAAAAACACTTGTAGTTGGCAAAATACAAAATTCAGATCAATTAATAGGAGGATATAATCCACTTGATTGGAATGGAAATGTAAATGGAGGCGTGATTTATAAAAACACATCTGAAAGTTTTATATTTAATATTAGTAATAGAAAAGATATTAATACTGCAATGTTTAGTTATCCTATTAATAGTAGTCGTGCAATTTATTGTAGTACTAGTTGTTTGGCTGTTTTTCAAGATTTCTGGTTTAATCCACAAAGTGCTGGTGGTAATATTGGTGGTAGTGGGTCATATGCTTATAATAACATCAATATACCACATGGTAGTAAATATGATGAATTAGAGGTTTTTCAAGTAATTGATAAAAACCAAAATCAAGGCTTTAGTTTTCGGTAGAATTATTAAGTTATGCACAATTCTTTTCTTTTTATTAATAATGTACCATTTGTAATTTTAATTTATCCTCCCAAAAAAGTAAATAACAAATAAATCATTGATGCAATATTATTAACTGAATAATTTAATGATGTTGAAAAATAAGATAAATATGTTATGAAATTAAACTCTTGCTCATTCATCAATTTTACAACTCGTTCCTTATACTTTAAAGAATCCAATTAAACAAAATTGCATTCTTGCAAAAACAAATATGAGCAAATTGATTTTTTAAAGCAAGCTTGGCAAAAAATTTAAAAATTTTATATTCTTGTAAAAACACCTTAAGATTTAAACGGAATGTATGAACTTGTTCCAATTTCTATCATCCAAAACATTCAATCTAGTAAATAAAATAATAAATAAAATATTATTAAATGATACAAAATACAAGTATTCCTTTCTTCTTCTTTCTTAAATGATTCTCTTTCCTCCTTCAAGTCTTTCTAATAATTTATGTTTTTGCCTAATTTATTTCAAGGAACAAAACTGCATATTTTTCTAATATTTAATAATGTCATCCGAAACCGTTTAATATCTCATGATTTTATTAAGTTAAACACGGGTATGTTTCTAAGGTAAGAGATTCTACATCTTAATTTGCATTATTGTCTCAAAAATGGCCAAAAAAATTTAGACCGATTTCTTAGATGACTACCGATCTACTTGATTTTTTTGCCTACAGAAACATAGGGAGGGGGATAAGAGGAATAAGTTACTTAGCCCAAAGCGAAATTCACCCAAAGCACGATATGCCAGCTCGAATAAATCCGGAAAATTAAGTTAAAAATTCATTATTCATCTAAGATAACTCAGCCAATGAGAATACTTTAAGAATACTCGAGGATTTATTCAACGAACAAATAGACAGAACAAAACAAAAGAAGGGTCCGATCAAGATGAGGTTCACATACACACGATGGCGGCAAATTAGTAATTCTTGTTTAATAACATTTGATATACTTTTTCAGCCAGTGAATTTATAACGTCATGCAAAATTATAAATGTGCATGATCGCTAAAGTTGTTCCACAACTTTTTGACTCATATATATAGAGTAATAGTACAATCAATTCTTTTTCTTAAAAATTTCACTGGCCAAGAAACTACATACAATCAATTTGTGAAACCTGCTATAAAATGTCTTTGAAAAAACATGGTTCTATCGACGCCTGGAGCCAAATCGCCCATCCAGACTTTATCAAAGGTGTTCCAGAAGTATCTCGTCTTTTGCTTCAATCAAAAACGCCTTTAGCTTGGTCGGAAAAGGGACTCACTCCCGAACAGACAATTCAACTGATGGATAAAGCTGGTGTAGAAAAAATATGTTTAAGTGCCTGGTATAGACCCGGAAAAGCAGTAATCACTAATGACATGATAAGCGAATGGACACAAAAATATTCTGACAGATTTATTGGAATTGCAGGTGTCAATTTACTCGATCCTTTTGGCGCAGTGAAAGAATTGGAAAGAGCTGTCAATGTACTCGGTTTTAAGGGCCTTCGTATTATTCCTTGGCTTTATAATCTTCCACCAAATGATAAACACTATTATCCTCTCTATGTGAAATGTATCGAACTGGATATCCCATTTTTTACACAAGTTGGTCACACTGGTCCATTATGTCCATCCGAGACAGGAAGACCAATTCCCTATCTTAATGAAGTTGCTCTTACATTTCCTCAACTGAAAATTGTTGGTGGTCACGTTGGTTATCCTTGGACAAACGAAATGATTGCTCTTTGCTGGAAACATCCCAACGTGTACGTTGATACTTCTGCCTGGCTTCCTCGTTACTATCCTCCAGAACTTATCCATTATATTGAAACCTATGGTCAAGACAAAGTTTGTTATGGTACCAATTTTCCCCAACTTAGTTGGGAAGCCACGATGAAACAAGTAGATGAATTAGGATTGAGTGATAAAGTAAGAGATAAGTTCTTGTATGGAAACATGGCAAAATTGCTCAAGTTAGAAAACAAAGCAAAATTGTGAACATTTAATTTAATCTATTTATGCAAGAAATTGAAATTCTTGGCAGAATATATGTATATCATATGATTCATCACAAATAAATGAAGGATGTTTTATGCCATTATTTATCATAAGCTCACAAAAAAAAAAATCAAACTGGTTTGTCTAACCAGATACTTGTTATAAATCATACACTTGATGTAAATTATAATATGTAATTTATCCCAACTATATGATAAATAAGAATCAGATTCATTTTTTTTTTTAGCTCTAATGATATTAATATATAATTTTTAGATTTCTTATCTATAGCAAACTCCTCATTATAATCAGAGAAACTTGGACAGCTTTGTCCATCAATAAAATGTAATACCATTACAACTGTAAAGTATTCATTGGCAGCAGAACAAGCCAATTGGATTTTTCCAGAAATAGAGGAAAAGATAAAGCATGAGATTGTAGTTTATGAGGAAAAACCAACGTCAGCATTACCACTTGAAAAATCTGTACAATTACATACCATTCAAAAGAAACATAAAATGCCAGCGCCTGTATTATGTAATTGTGAAGAGAAAATATTCATTAGAGTGAAAGAAGCTGTAGAAAATGATATTACAAATAAACATGAAACCTTCGAGGAATGCATTCAGAAAACAGGATTATCTTGAAAAAAAGAAGGTAATGATTATGTACAATTGTGATTGAACTTTTATCCCTATATCTACTTTCCATTTAATTTATTGATTTGACGTATCGTCGTCAGTTATAGGTTAACAAGAGTGTGCGATATAATATCTAACCATAATATTCTCTTTCTAATTAATATATATATCTGTTTAGTAAAGAATTAAGAAATAAATATTAATATTGTTTAGCCTACCATACCTCTAATATTAAATTGACTTCCGCATTATTACAAGTTAAGAAATCTTGTTGATCTGAATCTCTAAAAGTTACTTTATTTATTATTATATAGATCAGTTTTTTTTTTTTTTTGAAAAATTCCAACAGCTAAATGTTAATATTAATTTTAAGTATATAGAGAACTTGCCAAATTTGGCTAAATAATGATCGTATAAAAGCTTACTTAATTGGGAAAATTTTGCAATATCTAAATCCAAGTCAAACAACAGCAACCGTAATGAATTTTACCGATTTGATTAAAAGTGTTTTATGCGAAAAATCTCAAGAAAAATCTCTTTCTGATGATTTTTTGTGCGAATATTGTAAAGGATTATTAAAAGAAGATGATTCTGAAAATGTAGGAATTAAATTATATACATTGTAAATTTTATATATGTAAAATAATCAATAATACCATTATTTTTCTTCTTTGATAGAATTTCCAAAAAAATGAATTCACGATTCATCTTTATGAATGCATTTCAGATTGTTTAAAAGTTAAAGATAAATCTTCACGCTTTAGTAAAGGAATTCTTGAAAGACCATTTTATTTGGCACTAATTGAAATGTTGACAAATTGTTTTGGGAATGGAGGAAAATTTCCTGATAACGTTAAAAAAAGTAAAGTTTTTATGCTAGAAAATATAAATTTAACACGGTAAAAATAATAACAATAATAATGATTTAAATTAAAAAGAATATACTTATTTGAAAATAATCATTTAAATTTTAATTAGTAATTAGTAAATTAATAAACTTTTAAAAAAAGTTTAGATTAGAAGATATTGAAAATGAGATGAAAAAATTAATTGATTTGTGGAATGGATTTCCAATTATATTTCAAAATTCTCATAAATCGATGATCAAAGAATTTTTATTTGGTGTAAGTATCATTAATATTGCTAATTATAAATAGAAGATAATTAATTTCATATTTTTCTTTTTTTGCAATTAAGTTTTTAAATTTTGAAGATTTAAACACTTTCTTGGGGTTAAAGACAACTTTTAAATCATCATCACACCTTCCACCATCATTTAACGAGTGTGTTGAGTCATTTACAAGGGTTTATATTAAAAAAAATCAAAAAAAGAATCCCAGGAATCCTAATAGTAGTAATATATTAACAATTGGTGGTAAAGCATTATCAAAACATTCTCATCGTGACAAATCAACTTTATTTTGGGGAGTTTGTACTGGAAGTTAGTAAAACAATTAAATATTAATTAAATTTATTCTTTAATTCATCAACAATAATGATATTAATAGCGCTCTTAACGCTACTATTATTATTCAGCTGAAAGCAAAAAAAATGAACAAGCAAATCATGTTTTAGCTAAAATTATAACAAATGCATCTTGGGTGAATTTACATTCACTTCCAGTAAATGTCTATTTTCAATTTTATCACTTTAATTTTATATCAATTATTATATAATTATTGATGTTAATAATATTCTTTACATACATACATAAATAATAGCACGATATACTTGTATATGAAATACGTAATGATTTAGGGTATGGTGCTCGATGGGAAATCAATCGAAATAATAATATGAATCAAGAAGATGGTGATGTTGATGATGTTAATGATGTTAATGAGAAAAGGACAAAAATTATGTTTCGTGGTTTTTTAGAACCACAGATGGAAAATGGACATGCAAATAAATGGATTCATTAATTATATTTTATTATTATTTATTGCTTATATAACTTTTTGTTTTTTTGTTTTTATAATAGTTAATCTCTTTATCATTACATTTATCTAAAATAATAATTTTTATTGTTCATTGTCATCTTTTATAGTACTTCCAGTTCATCATTTGATATACTAGAAAATTTTATTTGATCTTGAAGTTGATTACACTCTCAGTACGGAATAATTACCTTTTACTACCAGCGGACCATCATCATTACTTTCATCCAGACTACCTTTATAAACAAATTTTTAAATTATGGATGTTTGCCAATTTGATGTCACAACCTGAATTGTTCCACATTGTTGACATTAAATTGTGGGAAGTGTATTGTTTCTTTTATTGTTTCTTCATGGATCACTAATTGTGTGCATAATGGTAGCATTATAAGGTGAATCCGTCCAACGCCATCGATCGAATGTTATCTTCGGTTTCAATGTTATCTTTATTAAAAAAAAAACATTATCTTTGAAGTATTAATAGATAAAAATGTATGTGCAATTTAACAACACCAAAACTTACCTCGATGGAAGATCTACTTTAACCTAAAATTTGCCAACTATCCATGGTTCTAACGAAAAATATGATAATACTCTTCGAAGAAGGATCTTTTTGCAGTTATGTCCTTTGTAAATAATTTATCTCATATCGAATAAATTTTTGTCGTCAATGCTGTTGCTGATACTGTTGTTGCTGTTATTGATCCAGCCGAGTTTGCTTTTATTAAAATTTACCGTGGATAATATTTAAGTATGATAATGATTGTTTATATGTGACGACAAACCTACTGTGGTTATCAAAGGCTTCGACCAACTGTGAGATAGATGTGAAATATTTTGTTGATTTTCTCGTGTCCATTTGAATTGTTCCTCTTTTGATTGTTCTACTTCGGATCTCATGTAGTTACTCAGTAATATTTTATCTTATATTTCAATATTTTTGAATGATTATGTATTTCCCTATACCTTGGTTATATCAAAATAAATGAAGCATTATTCGTCTTTCCATTGTTATTTAATCCTTTATTCGAGCATGAATACCTTTGTCCTCACTGTTGTATATATCTATCGCAATGCATTTGAACATATTGTTCTTAAATTTGGCCAAGTAATAATGATAATATTAGAACCACCATGCAAAAACAAACCTTTTAAGGAACCAATTGTGGAAAAGCCACATACAATAAAGAAGAGAAAATCTGGCAAAGTTGGAAAATAAACCTATGATCCTTTCCGAATTTTAGTTCATAACTTCTTTCCATACAGAATAATGGTTCTAATGCTCCATATTGCAAAAAGGAAACAAAATGGTCGCAACCAGCATCTTTAATAGTTCATTACCATGTCATACAAGTGGCAGTGGAACATTTTTAGTGGTCTTGGTACCCTTTTTTTCGTGCGCGTGTTGGTGCGTGTTATGTGTACATGTGTTCTTCCCATTACAAATTGTAGAGATCGTTCTCAAAATCCCCAAAAAAATAAACCGAATAAATCTGACTGGTCACAGGTGTCATATTTAATTAGTTTTCTCGATCAAGTATATGGTTGATGCTTTCACACACCTTCATAACTATGGAATTCTTTCCATGGGTGAAGGTCCCACATGTTGGAAGACTTTAAACAAATTAGAGGCTTTAGTCAGTATTGGCATTTTTCCATTAGCCAGCCAACATTATCAGCCAAAAATGGCTAGAGTGATCAAGCAAAACTGGCCTCCGTATGAAAAATAATTTTGGAAAACCATATTTTTCTGTTTTTACTGTATTATCTGAAAAGAGAACGAAAAAATATAATTCCATACATTTTCATGTGTCTTTCGTATCAGTATTAGTATTATTATCTTTTCCAGCGAATGTTAGAATACGGAAACATAAATATAAAAGAAGCATTTTTTCATAACAATAAGTTTTCTATACTAATACTAATACTTTACCCATGTTTTTCCGTACTTTTTCCATACAAATACTAATGCATTTTTCATGCAAAATTTTTTTTGACAATGATGAAATTCATAAACCCACATCCCTGAAAATTTAATTGCATCATTATATCTCAAGACAAGCTAGTCGGATTAGCCATATATACGCGAAGAAAAAAGAGAATGTTTGAAATGTTTGAGCTCTCAAAGTAACAACACAGGTTACATATCGAGTTTCTTGGTGTCTACTAAGAGAGATATTCAATAGTCGTGTTGCCTATTTCGCCTTTAGATTTCTTATAATTATTATTATTTTAATATTAATAATGACCAATGCAAAAGTACACCAATCATTTATAAAAATCCTGTATAATGTAAACAACTATAAGTTTTGATCTAAGCAAAACCATACCAAATGTTTATTGATGAATGAATGCCTAATTGGGGTTTTTTTTTCAAAAAAAATTTTCTTTAAGACGCGTTATAAAAAATTTTTTGCCTGACGCCCCTTTTTTTAAAATTTTTTCTAAATAAAATGTCTTCATCATTGGAGGAGAATAATAAGAAGAAAAGAAACAAACAATTCCCGAGAAAAATATCACGAGTAAGTATTGTTAGAGGAGATAAAGATAAATTTGAGAGCTTTTCTAGTTTGGCATGCATTTTTAATATTATTTGAGGCATACTGCAACAAAACCAGACAAAATGAACATTGGTATTTCAGAGATCAAAATTTAGTCATTTGTAATGTGATCATAATTAACAATTTTATAATATCCCATTTATGAAACTCATTTACATCAGATCCCGAGAATTATAGCACAATTAGAAGTATTTTAAAAAAGGAACAAGGTGAAACATTGCTCCTTGTATTTTCAAAATAAATGGCACTCATACACTCGAAACTTATATAAGAAAGGATTACCTATGAAATTTACCAAGAAAGAAAAATAATAAAATTAGAAAAAGCAGAATGAAAGTGTGTGCTATTACTCAACAAAAAGCAAAAATCCTTAGAAGGAAAATAATCTCATCATTATAGTATTTATTATTATCAATAATAATGTTGTATTAATATTTATATCTTCTTTGTTTTCATTATCTTCATCTCTATCTCTTCCTTTTCAATTTACTTCTGAATTGCTTCTAATGTTTTTTTTCTAGGATTTGCCTTTTGTTTATGGAAATTTTAATAGTAGAAGTGACAACTCCTTTCTCCTTAAGTAATTCACGAATTTTAATGGTCATTTCATTAAAGGAAAAATCGGAGTCTTTTGTCAAATAATTCTTTGAAGTTACACCATGGACTTGCGAATATTTTTTATCAGCAGTAAATTTGTTTGTTCTATTTTTAATTTTGTTCTATTATATCGATTATTTGATTAATTTTTTTGATTATAATACAGAGTCGATTTTTTGTAAGTTTAAAGTGAAGAAACCAAGCAGGAGTTCAATTAACAACCCACAAAAAGTTCACAGTTGAAAGCAAGCATTTTCTTAAGAAGTTATTATGGATGGAAATATTGTGTAAATATTTATTGATTATTTTTTAAGCAGAATAAAATCGTATTTAATGATGATTATTAGGAGGGGGGGTTTTAACATATCTTTAGCAAATGAGGAGAGGTGGAAAGGATACATTTTTTATTATTATTACTATATTAACATATATGTATATATATATAAAGGAAATTTTCCCTTATTATTATTGTTATGCAAATTTAATGATCAGTAATTGTGTGTAAATCGCACAATTTTGTGCATTCTCGTCTTGGTGATATTGATGGCGATAGTATTGGTGATGTTGTTGGCAATAGCTTTGATGATGACAATGATGATAACCTCCTCTATAAATACAAGTAAAAAATTAATGTTTCAGTTTATACTTACACGTTTCCTATATGAGCCAGTATTATAGTTTATTTTCTTTCTTTTCCTAAGATTATGATTATTCTGTAAGATTTTTAAAAAATTAATGCATAAGTTGACAAAAAGTAAAAATAAATAAAATCAAAGATTGTTAAATATTTACTCTTTCCACTCTTTCCACGATGTAAATCCTTTCTTCTGGTGTATCACCAATATCATTGGTATTATCGGTATTAATACCATTATTAAGTTCATCATCATTTAAAGTTCCTTCATAACCAATGGAAATATTTTGTAAATCGGTATTATCGGTATTAAAGTTAATATCATTATAAGTTCATCATCATCATCATCATCAGTTCCTTCATATTTAATAAAAATATTTTAATAAATCTGATTATTCTTTAAAAAGATAATCAAGGTATTATTAGCATACTGATAAGTTAATAATAAATAGACTATTGTCATTGTCTTGACCTGAGTGATGTCGTTGTGTAAGTAAAAGGCACGAAGCTTGCTGTCACGATTTCGTTTAAAAGCTTCAATTGATGTGACATGGCACACGACTACTATTACTGTTACTATGCTTAAATTAATTATCAAATCATATTTGCTGATAAATTTTTTTGTTTTTTAAAAAATCTATTTCGAAATGAATTATAAAGTTCCAAATGGTATATATTATTATTATTAATTAATTCATATTATTTTTATTTATTTATATTTACATTTGGTTGTTTTAATAGATTGTTGGGTGTATATTGATAATAATGATGATAAAAACAAAGAAATTTTAAAAATTTATCATAACAACAACAATTGCAATTATGATGAAAATCTAAGTGGAAATGATTCAACCGATAGTGAGATTTATGATTCAAATAATGATAATGAAATTGAAATATATGAAGATGAAGATAGTGATAATAAAATTGGCGGTGATGATGAAATCAATAGTGAGGATTGCAACGAAAACAGTGATAAAAGTAACAATGGATTTTTTTGTACAGCTTCAAATTGTGGTAAATATTTCAGGGATAGAGTTTTCCTTAACAGACACACAGTAAATTTCATGGCAAAAAAAAATGTGAATATCCAGGATGTGCAAAAACATTTTGTCAAAGTGGTGAATTACGAATACATACAAAACGTCATCTTGGAATAAAAAATTTCAAATGTAAATATCCAGGATGTGAAAAAGCATTTTGTCAAAATCGTGAATTACAAATACATACAAGATATCATCTTGGAATAAAAAATTTCAAATGTGAATATCCAGATGTGCAAAAGCATTTTGTCAAAG